TGCTGGCAGAGGGCTTCCTATTAAAAAAAAAATATATAAATAAATAAAATGAAAAAAAAAAAAAGGGAAAAAAGGGGGGGGAGGGGGGGGGGGGGTGGTAAATCCTCCCTCCGAAGAGGAAAAACCTGGGGGCAGGTGACGTCCCGGCGGAGGGAGGGAAGGGGAGCGGGGATGGAGGAGGCAGGACAGGAGCGGGGTGGCACCGGAGGGGTGGCAGCTGCCTCCGTCCCGACGTGTCCCCCCCGGGCAGGGGTCACTCAGCAGCCAGGGAGGCTTCGGGGGAGGCAGCGGTGGAGTAACTTCGAAGCCGGGCAAAAATGGGACCCCAAATATCCTTGTGTCCCAGGGAGGGTGGTGGCCGGACCACGCTTGGGCTCCCAAGGGAGATCCCACCAGGTCTTGGCTCTAAGACGGAGCATCTCTGCGGTGGCACGTGTGGTGGCACACACCGTGGCCTCGGTTCCTCCTGAGGCCACCACCGCTGCGTGTGTGTGTCCGTGGGTGTGGGGCAGAGCACCCAAAGCCACCCAGCCCCACGGGGGAACAGTGGGGGGCAGCCAGCTGTTGCCCATGGTGGCACTTTGGTGTTGAAACGCGCTGCGTCGCCACAAGTTGTCCGTGTTTTCCTGGCATCCGTAGCCTTCCCAGCTCCTCTTCATCCATCTCCTTCCCAGTGCCTGAAAGCCAACCCACCAGCAGCTCAGGAGGAGCCCAGCTGAGGACCCCCCGCCGCCCATCGGTGTGTGCACCGCTGTCCCCTACGCTTGGCTCTCCTGCCCTGACTCCGTACGTGCCACTGCCAGGTGGGAGCAAGTGGGGAGAGGAGAGCGAAGGAAGGACAACCCCGCCGTCCCCTCAGATGCTCGTCTGCAGGTCGCCATTGAGCAGGGTCCTTTGGGTTTCCGTGGTCTCGTTGAGCCTGGATTTGTCCTGCTTGCTGTCGCTCCGGTCCGCCTCGTCCATGCCACTGACCTTCACCAGGCAGAGGACGTTCTGAAAGCTCTTCTTGAAGTTGTCGGACAAGAAGGCGTAAAGGATGGGGTTGGCGCAGCTGTTGGCGTAACTGAGGACCACCACGAAGTCGAACATGCCCTTGAGGACAGGGGTGGGGACGATGAGGACGGAGACTGAGGAGACGTTAAAGATGTAGAAGGGGAGCCAGCAGAAGATGAAGACGGCCACCACGATGGAGACCATCCTGGTGACTTTCTTCTCCGACTTTTTCCTCTTGGAGGAGCCCACTCTGATGCCCGAGGACTTGACTTTGATGATGATGAACAAGTAGCAAAGGCAGATGATGGTGAGAGGCACCAGAAAGCCCAGGATGAAGGCGTAGATGATGAAGCCCGTGTACCAGGCGCCCGACTCTCCCGGCCAGATGATGGTGCAGCTACTCCTGCCATGATTATGTTGCACCCCAGCATAAATCATGATGGGCATGATCACCAACAGGGAGACTCCCCAAACGGCCACATTGATCATTTTGGCTGTCCTGGGCCGCCTCCACTTGGCGGATTTAATGGGATGGACAACAGCCAGGTACCGGTCAACGCTCATAACCGTCAAGCAGAAGATACTGGTGAACTGGTTGATCCCGTCCACCGTCATGACAATTCTGCAGATGGCTTTGCCAAAGGGCCAGTGCACCAGGGCCACCTGCATGGCCAGGAAGGGCAGACCGAGCATGAAGAGCTCGTCGGCGATGGCCAGGTTGAGGATGTAGATGTTGGTGATGGTCTTCATCTTGGCGTAACGGAGGATGACGTATATCACCAGCGTGTTGCCGCACAGCCCGATGATGCAGACCACGAAGTAGATGAAGGTGAGGATGGCGTTGCTGGTCAGGTCGAAGTGGTGACCCGTGGCGTTCTGCGACGCGTTGGTGGGCGCCTCCACGGAGAAGTTGTCGAAGGGGGAAGCCGGGGAGAACCAGAAGGCGGTGGCGTTGGGCAGCTCGTATTCCAGCTCCATGGCTCTGCCGGTCCCCGGGCGCTGCCGGTTCAGAGGAGCCGAGATGTCATCTCCCCTTGCTCTGGGGATGAAGGAGAAGATTCTAGAAATCAGGATAAATAGAAATGAAGGGATTCCTGGGGAGGATTTGCCCATCCCGCTGCCGAGCTCTGTGGGAGAGGTGCTCCTCGCGGGGGGGCTTTCCCCAAATCACTTCCCCATCTCCCCTCCGGAGCCTGTGTGGTGCTGAACGCTCTGCCCCGCACACGCCGCAGCTCCTCCTGCCTCCGGTGATACCGGACTCCTCATCACTCCCCAAACCCAACCGGTGAGTCCCCGCTGGGTGCGACTGACACCGGGAGCACCGAGCGAAGAGGAAAACCTTTCCCCTTCCCTTCCCTCGCCTTTCAGTGGGGCGGCAGCCCCTTCCCTCCCGGCCACCACCGGAGCCCGGGACGGGCACCCCGAGCCCGGAGGCTCCCGGGGGCGATGGGCTCGGCTCGGGGGCGCGGTTACTCCCGGGATCCATCCCCCCGGGATCCATCCATCCATCCCTCCCTCCGTTCCCCGCCGCTCACCTGCTCCCGCCGCCGCGCCCCGGACCGGCGGGGCCAGCGGGGAGGCGCCGGCAGCGCCCGCCGGGTTCCGCACCGCTCCGCCGGGTTCCGCACCGCTCCGCACCGTTCCGCCGGGTTCCGCACCGTTCCGCACCGCTCCGCGCACCCGCCGTCCCCGGCGCGGCTCCGCCGCCGGACCCAGCGCACCGGCTGCGC